AAGCCTGGAGCGCCGCTGGGTGTGGCCCCCCAAACCAAAAAGATTAAAAAAATATATGTCTTGGAGTAGGAGTGGTAGTAAAAAGGTTAAGGTGCTTATTTAGTATGTGGCTGTAGCTGTGACCCTGGTTTGAATCCTGACACCACATATGGGCCCCAGAAACAACCAGTCATAGTACCTGAACATAGAGCCAGACATGATCCCCAAACAAGACAAAACAATTGTTTTTTGGTTATGGGGATTGAATAAACAGAGCAGCACAGTATTTTTTTTTTATTAGTGAATCACCGTGAAGTACAGTTACAGGCTTACAAACTTCTGTGCTTGCGTTTCAGTCATACAATGATCGAGCACCCATCCCTCCACCAGTGCCCATTTCCCACCACCAATGGTCCCAGCATCCCCCCCATCCCCCCACCCTACCCTGCCTCTGTGGCAGGGCATTCCCTCTTGCTCTCTCTCTCTCTCTTTTTGGGTGTTGTGGTTTGCAATAGAGGTATTAAGTGGACATCATGTTTGGTCTATAGTCTACTTTCAGCCCGCATCTCCCATCTCGAGCGGGTCCTCCTGGCACCCTATACTTGGCGGTCCCTTCTCTATCTGAGGTGCCTTTTCCCCCAGCATGTGAGACTGGCTTCGAAGCTGTGGAGTGATCCTTCTGGTACTTATCTCTACTATTCTTGGGTGTTAGTCTCCCATTCTGTAACTTTATATTCCACAAAAGAGCAGCACAGTAAGTATCATAAAAGTTACTGTTACTTTCTGTCCTCAGCTCTTCAAGATACTTCCCTGGACCTAGAGGTTAATTAATTAATTTGTTTTGGGACCGTATAACCAGCAACATTTGGTGCTAACTCTTGGCTCTACACTCAGGAGTCACTCCTGGTGATGCTTCCGAGACCATTTGGGGTGCCAGGGATCGAACCCAAGTTGGTCACGTGCAAGGCAAATGCCCTATCCACTGTACTATCTCTCAAGTCCGCTTGAGATTATTTTATTCTATTTCATTCTTGGGGCAATTTGGGCCACACCTGGTGGTGCTCAGGAAACTCCTGCTGGGTCTCTGGGGATCATATATCATACTGGGGAGTCAAACTGAAGTGGGCTACATGCAAGGCAAATGCCCACATTGCTGTGTTATCACTCCAAGCCCACTCAGGGGTTTGCTTATGCCTCATTCCAGAGAAAGAAGAGCCAGCATCCACCCTACTCCTCCCTTTTTCTCCTTGGGGGAATAGGAGCAGCAGCAGGTGGAGCACAGCGTCGCACGCCCTCTACTGTGGATAATAGGAATTGCAACGGCTGGGCGGGAGGGCGCGTCCGAGTCGCTGACACTGTTGGGAGAAGATTCTGTTTTTTCACTGATAAGAACTTTGAAATCCAGGATGTGTAGGTGATCCTCCAGGGATGAGAGCTGGCACATTCCCAGTCCAAGACCTCTCAAAAAGGAAGCTCAGTATGCGTGCTGAAAGTAGACTATAAACCTAACACGGTGGCCACTCAATACCTCTATTGCAAACTACAACACCCTGAAGGAAAGAGTGAGCAAAGGGAATGCCCTGTCGCAGAGGTGGAATAGGGTGGGGGGGATGGGGTGGGGGTGGGAGGGCTACTGGGATCATTGGTGGTGGAGAATGGGCACTGGTGGAGGGATGGGTACTCAATCATTGTATAACTAAACCCAAGCACGAAAGTTTGTAAGTCTACAACTGTACCTCGGGGTGTTTCACTAATAAAAAAATTTAAAAATAAATAAATAAATAAATAAAGGAAGCTCAGTGACTCCAGATCCCCACAGCTGGAGAGTTGCACTAACTGACACTGGTTTGTTTTGGTGTTGGCTTGGGGATCAATGGTGCTCAGGGGTCACTCCTGGAAAAGCTCAGAAGGACCCTTAGTGGTATGGGGTGCTCAGGTGGGCCGCGTGCAAGGCAAGGGGGTTCGCCGCTCACAAAAGACTTTTCCACTTAGCTTATATTCCTCAGTACCTGATTCAAGGAAGGGGAGGAAGGAAAAACTGAAGGGAAGAAATTCTTCCTATTGGGAAGATAGTATTGAATTCTGAATAACGCCCCTAAACTCAGATTTGGGGGACGGGTAGCTTGTGTGTGTGTGTGTGTGCATGCGCACATGTGTGTCTGTGTCTACATATTTGTTCCTTATTTGTTTTTGGGCCACACCCGGCAGTACTCAGGGCTTACTACAGACTCTGCACTCAAGAATCACTCCTGGGGCTTGAGTAATAGTACAGCGGGTAGGGTGTTTGCCTTGCACACTGCCAACCCAGGTTCGATTCCCAGCATCCCATATGGTCCCCTGAGCACTGCCAGGAGTAATTCTTGAGTGAAGAGCCAGGAGTAACCCCTGTGCATCGCCAGGTGTGACCCAAAAAGAAAAAAAAAAGAGCAAATCACTCCTGGCAGGCTTGGGGGACTATATGGTATATTGAGGATCGAACTAGGGTTGGCCACCTGCAAGGCAAGCATCCTACCCATTGGACCATCGCTCCAGCCCTCGACTGTTTTTGTTGTAATACTTGGGGGATACTCCGGGCTCTGTACTTGGTAAGGGGACTCTCTCCTGGCCGGGGCTCTGAGCACCAGGTGGCAGAGGGCTGGAACCCAGGGCTGTGGGTTCTCCATGTGCTCTGCTGAGTGAGCGATCTCCCTGGCCCAGCTTTTGTATACTGGAAGGAAGGACCATTCATCTGTGTTGTTATATAAGACTTGTTCATTAATTCATAAGAAGTATTTCTCTATGTTCCTTCTCTGTGTCAATACTGTACTAAACATAGGAATGCAAATGTGATCAAGATTGCAGGGGAGAAAGGAGTTTCTCAGACCAGGTTCCCTAAGCTGGGCCCCAGCCCCCTGCCTAGGTGTCACAGCTGCAAAGAGGCTGGAGTAGAGAGGGCGGAAGAACTTAGCCCTGTGGCCCACATGCAGAGGAAACCGGGCACTGCCCACTCAGGGTGAGAGGCCCAGCACTGCCCCCAGAAAGCGCAGCTGGGAAGATCATCATCCTCCCAGGGCTTTCCCAGGGTGTGTGTGTGTGTGTGTGTGTGTGTGTGTGTGTGTGGGCGCTTCTAGACCTGGCAGGATCCCAGGATTTCATGACAACTGCTCCTAAGACTTCTGCAGAAGATGTTAGGAGGCGAGATTTTTGGTTTTGTTTTGAATTCAGTTTTACTTTTTTGTTTGCTTTTCAGCCACATTGGCGGTGCTCAGGACATACCCCCAGCTCTGTGCTCAGGGATCAGTCCTGACAGGACTCAGGAGACCATATATGTAGCCCGCGATGGCAATCAAACCTGGTTCTGCCATGTGCAAGGCAAACACCTTAACCCCTATAATATGTCTTGGGCCCCAGGAGATGAGTTTTGAGCAACAGAACAGCGTATACCTCATGCCTCAAACCTCGGGGACTTTACCTCTGAGTTTTGCAAAAGAAAAGTAAGGGAACCTTCCTATGTCTCTTCCCCCAAAAGTCACTGGCCCACATGAAGGAGAAGAATGGTTCTGCTTCTTCACCAGGATGCGAGCTGCTTTTTATATTTCTGGGGATGGGAGGCAGCCATGTTCCAGTAAATTGATTCTTATCAAGAAGGAAATATTTCAGGGACTTACTCATTCACTTACAAGTGTTTAGTAATGATAGGTATCATTCTGGGCACTGTTCTGGCCAGCAGGGATGCCATGGTGTTAAACGTGAGGTCTTCATCAATTCATGGTTAGAGCAATGAGAGAGAGAGAATAAATATATATTTTTATAAAAATATATTCGCTGGTTCCATGTAACTATAAGTGAGACACGGCGATAAGGAGAGACAAGGGAGCTGGGCATGTCCTCCGTGTTCAAGCTTATTAGGATTTCATGTTTGCTTTTATGCTCACTGCAGGAGACAGGAGTGAGGGTCTGACTTTATTTCTCTGGCCTCAAGCCATTTTGGCAGCTCAACCTTGCAACCTTCCCAGGATTTGAGAGGTTACAGAGTCAGCACCTGGGAATTTGGTAAAGAGGCCAATTAGACACTGAAGCAGCTACTGAAAAAAGCCTTTTTAATCCACATGGATGTCATACTACTTCCACCTTCAAATTAGTTCTTTCCTGGGTTTGTCTTGCAATAACATGGAATTCCTCCTCAATCAACTCACACTTGAAAAAATAATATCCCTCACCCTACCTGCAGTAGTGTTAAAGCTGTTATTCTTTTCATTCCCACCCGGGCTTTTTTCACTTTTTCCTACGCTTAGTTTTGTCATCGGAGACCAAGTGGATCCACATTATTCTTTCTAGCTCGGTTTGCATGCCGGGCACTGTTCTGGGGCACCAGGACAAAGAGGTCAGGAGCATTCTTTGCCCTTAAGGATTCCCTGCCCAATCAAAGCTTATAAACTACCACGGGCGGTTTTTTTCTGTTTCTTCTTTTCTTTTCTTTCTTTTTTTTTCTGTCGGGACGAGGGGCATACCCGGTGGTGCTCAGGGGCTACTCTGGGAGCTTGGATGTCGCTCCTGCTGGTACTTGGGGCATCGCTCGGTGCCGGTGCCGCAGGGGACCCAAAGCCCGGCTTCCCGCCAGCACCGCGCGCGGCCGCAGCCCTGGGCACCCCGTCCCCGGCGCCCGGCACCTTTCCGCGGTTCGCTACACGGATCCGCGAAGTTCCACGAGGAGCGAGACGCGACCACTCCCGTCCTGCGGACGCGGACAGCGTGGCCGCTGCAGGGGGAGAGGGCCGCGCGGGGCGCCGCCTCGAGGCCCGGCCGCCGCCCGGCCACGTGCAGGGGCGCTCCGGGGCCCTCGCGCTCCCACGCGCGCACGCCGCTGCCTCCCCGCCGCCGCCGCCGCCGCCGCGCCGGGTCCACGTGTGTGTGTCTGTGTGCGGAATGGGGACGGGGGCGGTGCCGCCCGAGGGGTGGGGTCCGGGCCGCGTCACGGCCCGGGAGGCCCAATCAGCGGCGGGCTCGCGGCCCCGGCGCTGGTATTGGGGCAGCGAGGGGGCAGTTCTCTATAACGCGGTCTCCGGGAGCCAGCGGGGAAGAAAGAAGCCGAGCGGGCGGAAGGCGCCCTCCCCGCCGCCTGGGCCCGGGCACCGGGTGCCGGGCCCGGGGTCCTTCCCGCCTCCCGCGGCTGCCGGCCGCTTTGTTTCCCCGGCCTCGGCCGCTCCGGGCTCCTCGAGACTTGGTGGTGGGGGGCGCCCGCCGGGGGCTGCTCCAGGAACGCGGCGGCAGCGGAGGGCGACGGACCGCGCCGCGACTCGCAGGGACCCAGGAGTCCGGCCGCCCCGGAGGGCCGCGCGACGAGATCCAGGACGGAGCCCCGAGCTCCGCGGGCCGGGGGCGCCCGTGAGCGGAGACCTCCCCGTCGAGGGGGGGCGATGTTCCCCTCGCCCGTGGGTCCTTCGGGCAACCCGGGCATCCCCCCGCCGCTGGGACCCGGGCCCCCGCCGGGGGCACCTCTGCAGGCGGTTCCATGGAGACTCTGTGCCCCGCGCCCCCTCTCGCGGTGCCGGCGTCCCCGCGAGGGTCGCCCTGCTCCCCCGCTCCCCGGAAGCCGCGTCGGGGGACCCAGGAGTTCTCTCCGCTGTGCCTGCGTGCCCTTGCCTTCTGCGCCCTTGCCAAACCCCGGGCGTCCTCTCTGGGCCCGGGCCCCGGGGAGCCGGCGCCGCGGCCCCCGCTGCTGCTAGGCCCTCGCGCCCCCCTGTGCACCGGCGCCTGGGCCCCAGATGGCCCGAAGCCGCCCGCGGGACCGGCCGCGCGGTCCAGCGATCCCGACCCGGCGGCCCACCAGGATGCGGACGCCGCAGTGTGCCCGAGCCGCGACGAGGAGGAAGAGGGCGGAGGCGGCTGCCCGCGCTGGGGCGCTCGCTCGGGCGAACCTCCCGGCCGCTGCCCGGCAGCGCCCCGGCGCCCTCGGGACTCTCCGAGCGGCTCCGCCCCGGCTCTCGACTCGGCGCCCGACCCCGCCGCGAGTCCGCCGCGGGAGCCCAGCGCCCGGCCGCCGCCGCCGCCACCTGCGGGCCGCGCCGGGGCCGCGCCGGAGGCGTCCCCGCCGGGCCCGGCCGCCGCCGCGCAGGGCAGCGCCGCCGCGGCCGCCCAGCCCTCGACGGCCGCCGCCGCCCCGGCCGCGCCCGGCCACCTCCGCCAGGAACACTTCGACCGTCTGATCCGCCGCTCGAAACTCTGGTGTTACGCCAAGGGCTTCGCTCTCGACACCCCGACTCTGCGCCGGGGATCCGAGCGGCCCCCCGCCGCCAAGGGGCCTGCTCGCGGAGCCCCGAAGAAACGGCGGCGGCCGCCCACGCCCCCGCGCCGCAGCGCGCAGCCCCGCCGGCCCGTCCCGACGCTGCCCACGTCCAGCACCTTCTGCCTCCTCGACTGCTTCCCCTGCCCCGCGGCGCTGGTGGTGGCCGAGGACGGAGACCTGGGGCCCGCCTCTTCGCTGCGCCTCCAGGGAGACGCCAAGCCGCCGCCCGCCCACCCGCTCTGGAGGTGGCAGATGGGGGGCCCCGCGGTCCCTGAGCCCCCCGGCCTCAAATTCTGGGGCATCAACTGGGAAGAACGCTGAGCAGGAGCGCGCCAGTACCACGTGGGGCAAAGTGGGGTGCGCGGAGCCCGCGGCCGCCTCGTGTCTTACCTCTGGCCTGTGTTACGGGCTGTGGTTGGAGGGCCCCCGAGTGACAGTGCTGGCCCAGCACCTCACTGGCTGCAGTGACACCCTCGCCCCCTTCTTCGTGGGAGAGGGACGAGCGCTGGAATCCGGAGAAAGGCTTAAGAGATTCCAACCCTCCCTCTCCCCACCTGGGGGTCCGGAGTGGGGGCCAGGCCTGCACCCCAGAGGGAGCCCAGGAGGAGGAGGAGGGTACCGCTCCGAGAAAAACAGAGGGACCGAGCTTGGTGATGGACAAACTGCTTGTTTCCAGGGCCAGCCGGGGGCGAAGGGGGGTGTGGGGGCAGTGGTGGGGGTGGGGAGGTGATTGACAGCTCCCTGGGGGGTGTCCCCCACCACCGTCCTCCCGCCGTTAACCCTTCACTCCCCTCTGCCGCCCCCAGAGCTGTTTGGGGACTGGGGGCGGCTTGGGGCGGGGGAAGAGCCCGCTCCCTCTGCTGCTCCGAGGCCCCCCAGGCGGGCACCCTCGGTTGGTGAGATCTTTTAAGTCTTCCCCCATCAGCCTTTCCCTTTTGTTGAGTTTCAGAGTTTCTTCAGTTTTCTCTGTTTGCTTTCAGTTTCTAAGGCCTGGGGAGGTAAAAGCGAACCCCCCCCCCCAAGTTAGCCCCCTCCCCCCAGTTTACAGCTCTCAGCGTGAGGGGCGGGGTTGAGGGTCCGCCTCCCCTCCCCAAAGGCACCCCGGGCCTACAGACGGCCCCGAGAGCTTTCCAGGGAAAGTAAAGGAAGGTGGAAGAGAGCAGCAACGTTAGACCAAACAAGTTGCCTTTCGGGGGCCTCTCCACGGACCTGGGGGGCGGAGCGGGGAGCGTAGAGGACAGGCCTGGGGGCCCTGTCCCGGCACCCAGAGACAGCCCCCAGGAACGGCCGCGATTTGTGGGGCGGTTAACGGAGGGGCCAGGAGGCGGGAAGGGGAGCTGGCGCGGGGCTGGGGCCGGGCCCAGATACCTTCAGCGCCCCCCACCTCCAAGCAGGCATTTCGGGAGTTGTCAGGGACCTGATGGATCCGCAGGGGGCAGGGCCAGGGGATTAGTTCGGAGGTCAGAGGTTCTGTTTTCCAGGGGGGAGGGGAGAGATCGGCCCAGGCCACGCCCTCGGAACCCCTGGGGTAGGAGCGAGGCCTGCGCCCTCCCACTCCCTCCCCCCAACACCCCGCAGGTGAGGTCCGGGAGAGGGCTCTGGGGGGAGATTACTGGTTTAGGTGCAAGGGAGGGGGGAGCGCTGGAAGTTGGGGATCTGCACGAGCACCAGGGGTCCCCGTGGTTCTTAGCCCCACGTTGGTGAAGAGCACCCTTTTCTCCCCCCCCCAATACCGGGCAAGGGAGGAACAATTCCCACGGACGATGCTAGGAAGGGACTGGTCTCCTTTTCCGTGAAAATGTTTTGTAAAAAGTTGTTATTGTTTGCATAGGGCAGATTCTGGAGAAAAAACTGTTTTGGACCCCAAAAGATTTGTTTGTTTTAGAAGCCGGCTCTCTGTTTTTTTCTTTCGCTGGGGTTGAAGGTGGGGGCCGGGTGGATGGGCTTGGTCCCCTGTTCCCTCCACAGCTGGCCCTTCTGAACCCTGCTGACCTCCCCTCCCCCCTCCAGCTGTGTGGTGGGGAGGAGGGCAGAGGGGATGGGAGGAGCACTAACTCCTGGGCTGTGGGAGATGCATCTCTCGTAGCCCCCCAGGAACGGGGAAGGCCGAGGATGAGAGTGAGGGGTGGTTAGGGGTCTGGGCAGCGCGGGCAGGAGCATGGGCGCCAAATCTTCCAGCTCCCCTCCTCCACACAGACCTGGTGCTTCCGTTTGAAGGCGCTCAGGGCTGGAAGCCACCCTGAAGCCTCTCACTGGACAGACTGACTCAGTTTCCAGGGCAGCCCTTACATATGCCCACAAAGGGTGCTCTGAGCAATGGAGAAATCTTCCCTCCAAGACGGGGGCAGCGGGTCTGCAGGGGAGTGTGGTGGGGAGAACCTCTTCTTCTCCAGGCCCCGGCACCTCCCTCCGCCCTCTGCTCCCCTTCACCAGGCCTCCCCCTCTGGCCCTTGTGAGTCTTAAGCTCTAGATGCTCTTCCGGTTGTCCCATCTTGAAAAACTTTAGTGATACTTGCCAAGACCTTAGTGCCCCCCAGGCAGTGCCGGTTAGGGAGGAGAAGGAGAGGATGGGGATGAAGAACTGGGTTTATCTTTTTAATTTTTTTGGGGGGGGGTGCCACCACTCAGCCCATATCTAGGGAATATAAGGAAGCTTTCTTGACCTTCAGAGGCAGGAAGCCTGCGTCAGCTCAGGGGCGTGTGCCGGTTACAGTGGCAGCAACCCCCCTTCCTCAATAAGTCAGCTGTTCAGCTGGTGCCCCTCACCTCCTGGAGTCCCAGTGGGATTCAGGAAGGGTAGTTAATTCCCCCAGGAGGGAAGGGGACTCTCCAGGCCATGCGGGGTCCTGCGGCTTGTCCTCCCCTTAGCTGTGCCCAGGGAGGGGCCAGCTCTCCATGGCTTCTTTGCTTTGCCCACTCGGGTTCCCTGCAGCACCCCCACATGCCCCCCCCCCGCTGGGAGCCTCATCCACGCCCTCTGCATCTTGTCTCCTAAATCTTTGTGACTTGACTCTGCCCCCTGAACCGGCCTTTGCCAGGGCTGCTCGGGGAGAAACCCCAACCACAGGTCCAAGTGTACCCCGGATGCTCCCATCCTTCCCTGAGCTCTTACACAGCCGCATCTTCCCCTCCCTGTCTCTCCTGCCTCGGGCTCTCCCCTCCCTTCCCCAGGAATCTTTCCTGAGGGACACAATGATGTTGGGGAGTCTGCACTTCCCTACCTCCTCCACAACGTCCGCCTTTCCTATTTCAGGCTGCAGTTTCTGCCAATGTGTGTGCGGGGGGGAATGACTCCCCCCAAAATGCGGGAGCTCCCTCTGCCCACCCCTCTCCTGGGCTCTGGCCCCGTGTGGCCACGTGGAGGAGAGTGGGGAGCACAGATGCTCCCGGTGGGTGACCAAGCTCACGGTTCGCAGCCCAGCTTTGGGTCAAGTCCAGCTCTGGGCTCTGCCTCTCGGCCAGACCCCCCCACACAGCCCCAGTCACTCTGGCTTGGAGGCTCCGTTTGTCCTCGAAGGTGCTCTCTGTGCCTGACCCCCTTCCCACCCCGCCGCTCGCCTCCCTCGGTCAGAGGCGGGGCCCCTGGGCCCTTAGCTGGCTTTCCGCGGGCTCGGTCACTCCCTCCCGGGCTGGTCCTCTAGGCCCCGCCCACCGGCCCTCACTCTCCCACCAGTGCGGGAACTTCCTGTGCTTGTACTGTGCACGGGCTCCATCCACTGGAGGCCCTTCCTTCCTCCCTCTCTAACCCCTGCCCCCCAACATTCTCCTAAACCGGGGGAGGGGCCGCGGTGCGTAGGAGGAGAATCGAATGGGGTTTGGGGGCGGTGCTCCAGCCCCTTCTCCCAGGCGGCACCTGGAAGCTAAGTCCGGTGCGGTTGGGATTCCCTCTGGGATCCCAGCTTGCACTGCATAGTTTTCATGGACACAAACGCCCTTTTCCAGTGTCACTCCTGCAACTGCGACAACTTCCCGAGAAAACATTTTCCGGAGTGTTTATATCTTTGAAGATGAAAAGTGAGATTATTGGGGGGGTGGGGAGGGAAGCCATGGAACGGCGGGATAGGGTATTTGCTTTGCATCACTGATCCAGGTTCCAAGCACCCTCAGGAGTAATTCCTGAGTGCAGAGCCAGGAATAACCCCTGAGCATCGCTGTGTCTGACCCCCCCAAAAAAAAGAAAGGAAGAAAGAAGAAAGAAAGAAAGAAAGAAAGACGAATGAGGGTGTTAATGACAAGATTGGTGATGGTTTTTCTCTTGTCTTTCTCCATCGTCCCCCCCTCTCTCCTGTTTCTGAACCACTCCCAGTGATGCTAGGGGGCCACTACTCTATTTCTGGGCTCTATTTCTGGGTTCAGGGACCATGAGGTGCTGGGGATCAAACCTGGGCCTCTTGCTTGCAAGGACTGTGCCCAGCACAGGCTCCTCCCTGGTTCCATCAACTTCATGTATCTCTTTTGCTTATTTTCTTCTTCTTCTTTCTTTTTCTTCTTCTTTTCAAAATTTTTATCGATTCTTCCTCCCCTTTGTTCAGACACTCTGGTTTGCAAAGTTGTTCATGATGATTTGTTACAGGCATTACCAATCCCCCACCACGGTCCCCTTCCCTCCGTTTTTTTTTTAATTTTTTATTTTTGAGGGGCCAGGGATTGAGCTCAAGGCTTTACTCCCCTGCAAGGCTTAGTTCTGCTGCTGAGCTGTATCTCCAACCCATGATTAATTTTCTCTAGAGCTTTGATTCATGTCCTGTTCACAGCAGGTGCCTAATGAATAACTTGTCCAATGCAGGGCACATGTGCTAAATACTTTTTTTGCTTTGTTTGTTTTGGGGCCATGCCCGGCAGTGGTCAGGTCTTTCTCCTGGTTCTGCACTCAGGAATCACTCCTGAAAGGGCTCGGGCTCTTTGGTGCTGAGGAATCAAACACAGATCAGCCTAGATCAGCGCATGGAAGGCAGGAACCAGCTCTAGCCCCTGTGAAGTGCTTCCAGCAATAGGTGCTGGCGTGGAACCCAGGTCTCCCACATGCAAAGCATGCACTTAAGCTTTAGTTATTTATTTACTCGGGGAGGGAACACACCTGACTGTGCTTTGTGCTGTCTCTTCTTGACAGTATTTGGGGACCATAGAGGGTGCTGGGGAATCAAAGTCGGTCCACCTCAAGGCAAGTGCGGGGCTTGCTACACTCTCAGGGTCCGCAGGGCTCCGCCCTTTGAGCCATCTCTCTCCGTCTCAAAGGGCTCTGGATGTGCAGCGTGGTGAGGGACGCTTGATCAGCATGCAGTTCCAGAGATGTCCACTAGATGCTGCTGTCTGCTAGGCTCAGAGAAGCGCGGCACGCGGGAGAAGGTGGATGGGAAGGGATGGATTCTGTGTGAGCGCCACCCGGTGCTGGCCTTTGAGAAAGGGATGTGTAAGACACGGTTTCTGCATGCTTGGAGTAAGTGTCGGGCTTTAAATGATTTATGTTACTGTTTTATTTTTGTAACAATAGTTTTATAAAGGTATGGGGGAGATTGTCTGCCATAGAGGCAGAGGGAGGGATGGGATGGGGGGAAGATAATGGGAACATTGGTGGTGGAAGATGTGTACTGGTGGAGGGT